ACATTCCCTTTTCATTTATCTATCTAGGGCTGGGGAGATAGCTCAGTAGAATAAGCGTGGCAAGTGCAAAGTCCTGAGTTCAATCCCTGGTATCTAAAAAAAAAAAAAAAAAAAAAAATCTACTTATCCTGGGGTTGAACCCAAGCCCTCATGTATGCTAAACATGCATTCTTAATACTGAGCTGTGCCCCTAAACATCGTTTTTCATCTTTAATGGAAAAAGACAATTATATATACTGTATTTTAGAATAAATAGCTATTAGATTTCATTGTGTTTAAACAAAGAAAATAGTGTAAGTTAATGAAATGTAGTCTCTAAATATTTTGGTTTTTTTCTTGTTGATGTTGTTGTTTGTTGGTGCTGGACCTTTAAAAAGATACAGCCAGACTGAGTGATATCCTTGCAAAGTAAACCAAGATTTCATTTTCACGATGGAAAGCCCATCAGACTCAGCTGTGATTTTTCCCAGCACTTCATAGGCCTGTGCAAATTCACCATCTCCCCATACAAACAGTTCATAGAAAACGCCAGTGAGTACAATACTTAAAGACTAAGGAGCCCCGTGTCCGGGGCTCTCTGAGATGGCGAATGAGACTGTGCGTGGAGGTGCAAGCCTGTAATCCCAGCACTTGGGAGGCTGAAAGCAGGACGATCACTACGAGTTTGATCTGTTTAGAGAGATCCTTTAGACCCTGTACTACATTTAAAAAAAAAAAAAAAAAAAGACTAAGGAAAACAAAGTTTTCATTTAATTTCTGTTGCAGTGTAGTAAAATATGTTAAAATGGAGAATGAAGAAAATGATAAGAACTTTTCAGAGAAACCAACATCTTCAATAGAAGAAAACTGGAATTTCAAGAAAGCTTTAAATACAGTGAATCTTAGGAACATGCAAACTTGAAAAGTGCTCTCAAGAATATCAGTGTGTGTAATCTAAATCAATTGATACTGGGTCATACAGTGTTCTCCAAAATGATTTTGTGAATGAGAATCTTAAACAAGATCTAAAGAAAGAAAAGCAAAATTGGTGAAGTAGGTGCAGAAGGAAGACCTCCTTCACAGACAAAAACTTGTCAAAATGACAAGAATGACCTGTCATAGTTACAGCTGTTGGTAAAAAAGTAAAGAAGCTGTAGCCAGCTGCTGCTTTTGAGTTGCAGTCAGTTATGTCTGCAGAGAAGAAACTAAGCCTTACTCAACTGGTAGACTACTACCGGCTAGACAATGAACTGCTACACTATAACAGAAGTGAAGAAGTTATAGGTGAATTTAGGTAATTTGAGTTTCATAATATTTATTCTCAGAATATTTTTTCCTTCTTTCACTTTTTCTTTTCAGTATGAAGGGATCAAACCTAGGCCCTCACATGCACTCTACCACTTAGCCATACCCCTGGTCCTTCTCCAGCAACCCCCCCCTTTTTTTTTTTTTTGCAGAACTGGGGATTGAACTCAGGCCCTTGTGCTTGCCAGGCAAGCGCTTATTCTACTGAGCCATCTCTCTGGCCCCACCAGCAAATCTTTGAGAATAACAACTAATGAAAAGACACTTAAGACATTTTATTTTTGTACTGGAGATTGAACTTAGGACCTTGCACTTGCCAGGCAGGTGCTTTTATGCTGCTGAGCCATACCCCTGGCCTGACTCTTAGATTGTATTGTATTATACATTTTAGAGTGTCTGGGGGCCAGCGCAGCACCTGGTACCCAGGGATCAAACCACAGTCCCTGAACTTGCCTAAGCAGGCTTAGTCTGCTGAGCTATCTTGCCTGCCCCATTTAGACATTTTATTTATTTATTTATTTTTTTGGTGGAACCGGGGATTGAACTCAGGCCCTTTTACTTGCCAGGGAAGCACGTATTCCACTGAGCCATCTCCCCGGCCCCACCATTTAGACATTGTAATGGGAAGATGTTTGCCATTAGGGCAGTGGTGGTGAACCTATGGCAAGTGTGCTACAGCAGGTTACTTGTATCACTGACAACTCTAAAAGGTTCACCATCAGTGCATTATCATTTATAGTGGTGTCTCAACCATCAATTTAGGGCCCTCTAAGACACAAAAATCAAGTCCTAAAATGAAATACAGCATTTTGAATAGAAAAATATTTTCAATGTTAGAAAAACAGTTCAATCTAGTGAATGTCTAAACCTAAACTGGCCTAAAAGTTCTCACTTTTCTTCTGTTTCTAAGCCTTGTTTCCATTCATTTATTGCCTCTTGTCATCTGCTAACCTCACAAATTAAACTTATGACCAAAATTTAAAAAATAAATAGAAAGGTACATATTTGCTATTTTCTTACCTCTATTCAAAGTCACTTTGGAAAGGCCAAAATCTGTCAGTTTAATATGACCCTCATTAGAAATCAGCATATTGTCTGGTTTCAAATCCCTGGACATAAAACAAAAGGCAAATATGTAACTAAAATGCACCATGGTGCTTAGTGAAAAGGCTAGATGCAATATTAGAATGTCTGGGGCTGGGAAGATTGCTCAATAGAATAAGCGCTAGCCTGGCAAGTGGAAGGTATTAAGTTGAATCCCAGTACTGCAAAAAAAAAAAAAGGTCTAAGAAAGTGAAAGTTACAGATGAGAAAAATTCTATTCATTGCCTCTAAAATAAATATATTTGTTTGTGGCTTTGCAAAGAATAGGACAACTTTCAAAAGCCATTCTTTGGTACATCTGAATCCACAAAATGTTAAATGACTTAATTTTAGATTATCTATGACATTGTTAGGTAAAATAATCCAGTCAGTTCAAAACTGCTTTTTCTTTTAGAGGAAAGTAAGACTAATATTTAACAGCAGAATAAGCTAGCCTTTCTTTGCAGAGAACAAAGCAGTGTCAATCAGCTAGGTCTACAGAGTATAGCACTTCTGTATGGTAGCAGAAGAGTGGAAAAGAATTGAGTAGTTTTTACACTGAATGTTTATGTTAAAACAGAGATAAAATATGGGTTGATAGAACTGCTAAACTCACATGTTACTATGAAACTTTAGATAATCTAGAAATAGTAGGTAAATGGTTACCATAAATATTTGAGATCCAAACATTTAACACATAATTTGATTATTTGTACATTTAGGTAACAGTTTTGAGAAAAATGCGTCTTTACCTGTGGATGATTCCATGTCTGTGAAGGTAGTCTAGAGCCAGTGCTACTTCAGAAATATATTTCACAGCCATCTCTTCATCAAAATAACCATATATATGTAGAAGAGACTTGACATCTCCACCAATAAGATATTCCATTACCTATTAAAAAGAATATAATATCATGAAATAGAAACAATATTTTATAGTAGTATTATTTTAAAATATAGTATTTGGGCCTTACAGTTACATATTTTTAGTGTAGTTTCATGACAAAACACATTTTCTTTTTATTACTCATTATACATTAGTACCAGGTTCATCATGTTCCATATAATCTTTTTTTAATCTATACTAAGAATTGAACTCAGGGCCTTTGCACTGAGCTTTGTCTCCAGCCCTTTTTATTTTGTGAGACAGGGCTCTTGCTAAGTCACTAGGTGACTGGATCTTCTTGCCTCAGCCTCTCAGTGTTAGGATTACAGGTATGCACTACCACACATGGGTTCATATAATTTTTAATTAAAAACTAAACTGGCTAGCTCAAACAAAAGTTTAGAGTTACAGAAATTGAAAAATTCTTAGAATATTAAAATGATTTCCTATATATTCATTTAGATTTACTCATTTTTAGTATTTTGCCATATTTGTTTTCTTTTTTCCATATATGAGGTATAATCACAAAATTTAGTTGTTTAAATAAAAAAAAATTACTTCAGTAAAAGATACTTCACCATCAATCCCCTCTAAAATGAAAGCTAAATCTTCTGACACAGTTATCCCATTTTTCTTGCCCCTTTCTGAAACAGCACAGGATGTCTGAGCTTGTGACTGTCTCAACTTAGACTTGGTTACCTCAATGTTCTGAATGTATTCAAAACAATTTCAAACATTTCAGCAATTTCTATCAAATAGAAACATGATGATGTGTCCTCATCCACCTTATTCACTGGATCTGGCATCGTGCAACTTCTCAAAGTCAAAATGACCATAAAAGGAAAACATTTTCAGTAGATTCAAGACACTGAGGCAGCCTCAACAGCACAGAGACATTCATGAAAAAGAACTTCCAGGACTGCTTCAGAAAGAGGCAAGAATATGAAGCAGTGTGTTTGAAGGGTGTATTTATTATTGTGAGGGGGTTAATGACAATGTGTCTTTTATGTAACAAATCTTTTAGTTTTAAAATTCACTATATTTTTATCATACTGCATATATCCAAAAATTTAATATTTATATATTAAATATATGTATTAAAATTTATAGACTATAAACTCAACATAAGTATTTTATAAACATAAATTGTTTATACTCAACATTAAGAAGAAAAACAATACAGTCTCTTTAGCATGTGCAAGGTCCTGTGTTGATCTTTAACATCACATAACATCATCATTTAATTCTTTATTGTATATCTTTTAATGAGACATCTTTACATAACTATGATGCTCCAGTGATTTCATTAGGTAGGTAAGAGGTGTTTACTATCTAGAAAGAAAAAAAATAAGAGCTAGGAAAAAAAGATCAATGGGACAGTGCTTGTCTAGCTTGTGCAAAGCTCAAGGTTGAACCCTACCACTCCTGCCCCCCTGAATTATAGTTGCTTACTTATTCCACTAACTTAGGAGCAAAGCATTGAAAGAAGTCCACTAAGATGAATAATGCCACCTAACCCTTCAACATTACTGCTGGACTAGGGTTGTGGAAACTCCTAGCTCAATCAAAATTGATGCTGTATGGGGAGCTCCTCTGTCTAGGTCCATCAGCAGTCAGCTTAGGCTTGTGGAGCAGTGCAAGGACAAATACCAGTAGCAACTTCTTGGAAAAGAGAATGTTGGGATCATCCTTCTCCTCTGGGCCACTCACTGATGGGATAATCCGAGTGCAGCCCAAATAGGAGTTCAAATCATTAAGCTTAAGTCTGAGCAAGGAGGATTTAGGGCTGCACATCTGCAGGTGTGAGGACTGCGGCAAGTGCAAACATAAGGAGAGCACCTACCCGAGACCCTGCAGTCAGCCTGGATCTGCGACAAGCAGTGCCTTTGCTCGGCCCAGAATGTGACTGACTATGGGACTGTGTATGCTGTGTGAAAGATCTCTCCTTTCACTGTTCCAGTGATGATGAGGAAAACTGTGCTGACAACTGTATTCTTGCTGCCAATCTCACTGTTGCACCCGATGGTCAGCCATGGGCTTCATGTCACTCTCTTGCCTTGCTTATGGTGTTACCTTCCAGCCAAGGGTTGCCTTAAATTGTGCCAGGGTTGTCATGACCGGATGAACAGCTGGGATAGCATTATAAAAACTCTAACACAGTTCGCCATAAAGTTTCCTCTGTCCCACCAGAGAACTTTGAAAAACCAACAAAGCATTATTAATTAGGAATAGTATAGTAATAAGGACTGTTCCTTTTTATTTTTTAATTTTTTGAAGTTTATTTATTTATTGTGTGTGTGTGTGTGCGTGTGTGCGTGTGTGTGGCCAGCATAGCCCACCTAGGGGCGGGGCTGGCTGGCATGTAGTGCTGGGGGATCGAACCGTGGTCCCTGTGCTTTGCTAAGCTTGTTCTCTAAGTAGGTGCTTTAGACCACTGAGCCATCTCACTAGCCCATCCTTTTTTTTTTTTAAATTCAGAAATACAACCAACTAAATAGGTATTATCTTAGCACTGTTAATAGAGGGTTGGGACCTTGTTTGCTGTTTGCAGTGAGATGCTTTTGTCCATGTGGCATTTTAACTGGCATACTTACTACAATGAACTAATAGAGCTCAAAGCAAGGGGCCCAGAACTTGGTGACCCACATATTGCATAAACTAAAGCAGCAGACACTCCTAGGAAATGTTTTTGTTAGTAGTGTAAGATCTGTAAATTAGCAGATGACTTTTTTCCCATTGTTTTCTCCAGAGATAGTGTGCTATATTTTTGTATATACAATAAAATTTGCAAATGTGAAAAACAAATTGTGTCATATATGACACTGTCATAACATATTACACTAAAATGTTGTATATATATTTTTCTTTTTTTCTGTATTTTAGGGAATGGTCTATAGGGTGTTCAGGGTCTCACTACTAGGTCAGACTCATAGTGATTCTCCTGTTTACAGCCTCCCAAGTACTGGGATTACAGGAGTGTGCCACCATGCCCAGTCTCAATTGCAGTCTCAGCACTCCCTGGGGGCGAGGCTGGCTCAGCAGGGCCGGTCCAGGGATGGAACCACAGGCCCCTGTGCCTACTTACAGGCGCTTTAATCCACTGAGCTATTTGGCCGGCCCTAAATGTTGTATATTTGGAAGAAGGTGAATCAATTAGTATGTTTTCAGATTGTATTTTACCCCTTTGGACTTCATATATATTGTACAGATACAGTAAAATTCAACCTTTATTTTCTAATTCTTTCAACATATTCTCTAGTGTAAGAATATTTATTTGAAGTTTTATTTTATAAAAAGAATGTTCAAGAGACATCTTACAAATTTTGCTCCTTGGAATAAGTGCTTCCCTGGCAAGTGCAAGGGCCTGAGTTCAATCCCTGGTTCTGAAAACAAAACAAAAAAATGAATTTTGCTCCTTTTATGAGGATGTCATAGTTGATGCAAATGAGGTGTTACAGATGCATATGTTCATAATAAAAATGAAAACATATTAATGTTTGAAATTCAAAACAGAAAAAATTGATACTGTAGCTACAGTCATGGCTTTTTGGGTGGGGTGGGGAAGTGGCAATACATTTCTTTTACAATAGTAAGCTGAAAAGGCATTAGAGGGCCCCAGGAAAAATGAAATGATTAAATGACTCTTTTCTTTCAAAATAACATTCAAGAGTATCCCCATTTTATTCTGCAGAGATCCACATAGTAAATATTTTAAACTTTGTGGGTGCGCATCACAAAAAAGCCATAAAGTGTAAACAGAGTTTGTGGACTAAGTTGTGATAAAACTTTACTCACTGAAATTAAAATTTTCTAATTTTCATGTATCACAAAATAATACTTTAGGGTCTGGGGAGATGCCTTAGTGGAATAAGCGCTTCCCTGGCAAGTGCATGGGTCCGAGTTCAATCTCCGGTTCCTCAAAAAAACCCCCCAAAAAACAAAACAAAAAAACCACAAAATGATACCTAATTTTTTCCAAGCTCTAAAAAAATGCAAAAACAAAAAATAATTCTTAGCTCATAAGAGCCATATTTGGGGGGCCAGGGAGATGTCTCAGTGGAATAAGCCCTTCCCTGGCAAGCATAAGGGCCTGAGTGAGTTCAATCCCTGGTTCTGCAAAAAAAAAAAAAAAAAAAAAAAAGCCATATTTGGAGAGCCAGTCAAATAGCTTAGCAGATTAAAGCGCCTACAAGTGGGCGCAGGGCCCGGGGATTCGATCCTCAGGCCTGCGGGTGCCAGCCCCGCCCCTGGGGTGTGCTGAGATAGCAATAGAGACTGGGTGTGGTGGTGCACACCTGTAATTCCAGCTCTTGGGAGGCTGTAAACAGGCGGTCACTAGAAGTCCGATCTAGTAGTGGGACCCTGAACACCCTGTAGACCTTTCCCTAAATTTACACACACACACACACACACACACACACACACCCCAGCCATATTTGGCCTATGGGCCATAATGGTTAGTCACCATTTTAGTCTATTAAAAAAAAAAAAGTTAGGCCTGAGACATAGCTCAGTGGACTAAAGCGCTTGCTTAGGCAAGCTTACGCAAGCACAGGGACCATGGTTCAATCTCTGGCACCACATGTGGGCCCCACCCCCAGGTGTGCCAGGCTGGCCAGGAGTTCAGGCGTGGTAGCGCACGCCTGTAACCCTAGTACTGGGGAGGCTGAAAGCAGGAGGATCACAATGATTCCATGTTGTGCAGTGAGACCCTGCAACAATCAAATGCATTAAAAAAAAAAAAAAGTCAATTATTCTGACAGTATTTGCTATTCCATTTCCAATTTTAGTATATGTACTGCTGAAGGGAACATGGTATTCCTTTTCTAATTGCCAATATACATTTTCTTTGACTCAGTGAATCACCCTAAAAGAGCAGATCTCTAGCTCATATTTTTTTCAGAATCTAGGGGCTTCCTGCTGTCTTTTAGCTTTGCTTTCAAGGTGAATTCCAAGTCCAATTCATTTCTCACTTTAAAATCTTTTCCCCTTGGTTGCTAAAGTCTCATTTCTTAGAGGAATCCATCATATCCAAGGATAGCAATCACACTAAAGGTTCATTGCATTTTGTTTAGAACAATTAAAAAAGTTTTTAAAAACTCTTAAGACAAATCATTTCTATATTTATGAAAAAATTATAAAATCCATGATCAATGAATGCCATACAATTATTAAGGAGGATGGAGTTGCCATTAAGTGGAAAAAATAGGAAAAATTGCAGTTTTTATAGCATAATCACATTTTACCATTTATTTAAACTGTGGATTGATATTTTAAAAAGCTTTTTTTTTCCTGAATTACTCCTGATTGGAAAAAAAAAAAAAGTAAGTGCTTACTACTGCCCCCAAATAGTGCTTTTTACTTTCCAAAGTTCCTAGCCATTCCAGTTTAAATATAACTTGAAGACTTACTGAACAATATCAGCAGGTACCAGGAAAATTTTCAGATCAGTTTTTTTTTTTAAATGTATTTAGTACAGGGGCCCACTGTGCAGCTTGGACTCTAGTGATCCTCCTGTTTTCAGCCTCCCCAGTACTGGAATTACAGGTGTGTATCATCACACCTGGTCTTGGTGGCCAGCGCAGTGTGCCTGGGGGTGGGGCCGGTGCTGCATGTGGTGCCTAAGCAGGTGCTTAGTCCTCTGAGTTATCTCAATGGCCCCAGACATAGTTTTTATAATCCACCTTAACTATTCTTTAGAAGGGTTTAACATTTAAATTGGTAGGCTCTGATAGAGCAGATTATCCACCACATGTGTGTGGCCATCAATCAATCAGTTGAAGGTTTTTTTTTTCCCTACTAGAGATTAAACGCACCACCCTTACATTGAGCTACCATCTCTGCCTTTTAAATTTTTTTATTTTAAGATAGGTCCCTTAAAATAAAAAAAATCAGTTAAGCCACTAAAATGACCAGTCTGCATTCAAATTTGTGATTCCCCTGCTTCAGCCTGACAGACTTCTGGTATTACAAGTATGTACAAATACATTTGGCAATTGAAGTCCTCTAAGAGAAAAAACATCTGAAGTCCCCAGAGGAGAAGGGAATTCTGTCCCCAGACTGTCTCTAGAAGATGCAACACTGGCCTTCCTCTAGGTCTTGGCTCCAACCTGCCAACCTACTTTGCACAATTCAGACTTGCCAGCACCCATAGTCTCATGAACTGATTCTTTTTGTGTCTGTCTGTACAAATACACACATAGACACACACACACACACACACACACACACACACACACACACACACGCACACTTATGCACATGTAGCATATATTCTTTTACTCCGGAGAACTCTAGTTAGTACAACAGGTAACTTGGCCAACATCATAAAGCCAATGAGGGCGAGAGTTGGAATTGAAATGTAGGTACACTGAACTCACAGATTGTATTTTTGAATCATTTGGTTTGATGATTGCTGAATGAAGAAAAAATGTAAAATTATTTACTCACCAAGTAGACATTACTTGCTGATTGCAACGAATAGTACAAATGGACAACGAAGGGACTTTTGCTCAGTGCCAGTGCATCTCTCTCAGCTTGAACCTGATGAGTCATATTTTTATTGATCATGTCTGCTTTTTTGACAACCTATAATAGACATGACAACAGATACTTTTAGTTTTTATTCATGTGTCCTCAGGTTTCAAAGTGGCCATCATAAAAACCTAATAGAGAGATAACACAGAGGTATCATTTGGACTTCACAATGCCATCAGGAAACTGCCAGAAAAATAGCTAAGAGGGTAAAACCAACAAACAAATACAAAAAAGCATTATCTTTTAAGAGAGCTAGATAGGTTTAGTAACACACACCTATAATCCCAGCATTTGGGAGGCTGAGGAAAGAGGATTGCCACAAAGTTCGAGGTCAGCCTAGGCTATACAGTTAGTTCAGGGGCAGCCTGAACTATACAGCAAGACTCTGTCTCAAAAATACAAAAACAAACAAACAAGACAGAACTGCTTTTCTTAGTATTAAGTAGCAAAAATATCACATTCTTTCTAAGCAGGAAAAAATAAGAGCTTCCTAACTGATCTGCCTATTTGTAGACAATTGTTCCAATATGATTATTACAAAGTTAAAAGATACTAAGCTTTATAATAAACCCTTTAGATAAGCTGTACCTGGCACAATGTAATACACTATCAATGCATATGTTTAAATTTATGATCTTTAAAAAAAATAAATTTATGATCCTTTGATGAATAGAAATAAAATCAACATGTTGGAAGGTGTATGCCTCACTTAAGCTACAATGATTAGAACTACTAAAGCTTACCCTTAACTGCTGTCTTATGGAAAACTACACTTTATTTTTTTACTTTTCAAAGTTTTATTGATAAACAGCAATGAGACAGTTTCAAATCAAATCTGAAGTACAGTTTCAACAAATAATACACTGCATATATTCTTCTTAGTGGTTAATTG